GGGTAGGTGGGAAGGAGAGGCAGGGCCAGGAAAGGATGGTTGGTAAGGTTAGGCAGGGAAATGGCCCAGGGTTACCCATGGTTCCTTGCTCTGCCCTGTGCACCTGCCCCTGAGCAGGTTAAGAAGCCTTTGGTCTGCAGACAGGTTGTAGAGAGGCTAGGGCACATCAAGAAGTTGGTCGTCTGAGCTCCATTCCTGGGTCTTCTGTTCACTGGCAAAGGCCAGGATTTTGGAGACAGGGGTTCTGGTCCTAGCTCTGCCCTTTGGAGCTCGGGACTTTGGACAAGAAGTCTCCTCCCCTCCCTACTCCCCATCTGCTCAAGGCACCTGCTCTGAGGGTGAGGTCAGGCCTCCAGTGGGAGGCTGGAATCTCTGCAATTGTTCTGCAAGAATTGAGGAAAGGAAATGAGTTAGTGCTATGGTGGTTCAGACATCAGGAAGAACTTCCAGCAGGGTGGGACAGCAGGCTGTGAGATGCCTAAAGAAGGGAGGCTGTGGAACCTCCTATCCTGGTGGTCCCTAATGGTGAGAACACTTCTCACTGGCCTGAGATGCTGCAGCTTGAGGGTCAGAGGCAGGGGCTGGAGCAGATGGCCTTACTCTGGATGCTCCTCTCCTCTGGTCTTGGGGCTGCCCTTCCATCCTGATATCATTGCTGGAACTCGAAGTTACCTTCACAAGCAATTCTCAATCAGGTCTTGGGGTCCCAGCCTCTCTCTTGCCCTGGCCTGAGAGGCAGGTACCCTTCCCCTGCCTCCTGCTAGTTCCGATAGCAGAGCACTCCCCGGACCCCTCTGCGGGGCCTCCAGCCCTTTCTCTGATATGCCCTTTCCAGCTGCTCCCGCTGCCCACCCGGCCTGCCCAACGCCAGTTCCCTCTTTGGTCTGACTCCCTTGACAAAAACCCTTCCCTACTCCACCCCCAATCTTTCCCCCATTTTCCTCTGGGCCTCACCCCTCGGGCCTCTCCTCCCTCTCTCCTTCAGCCTCTCACAATGGGGACAGGGGCAGGATCACAGGGTCCCCTTTAGGGGGAGACAGCACTTGATGGGGAATTAGAAGACCCTGTTAGAGTTCCTAAAGAGACTCATGCTCATGAGCCCCTCTGAGCCCCAGTTTTTCATGCTAGACATGCTCATGAGCCCCTCTGAGCCCCAGTTTTTCATGCATACACTGGGGAGAGTAACTCCTGCCCAGCTTACTAGCTGGCAGCCTGGTGGGAATCAAATGAAATAATGGGAGTGAAACTGCAAGCCCTGTCTTCAGGAAAGACAGGGAGCTCTTGTGGACATTTGTGATACGTTGGTCAAGGCTCTCCTTGCTCCTGGCAGGCCTGGTTAGAATCTAAGCCCTGTCACTCCCCCGGTGTGTGACTTTGGGCATGGTCTTAACCTCCCTGCACCTCGGTTTCAATATCTATAAAGCGGGGCTGGCAACACCCATGCAAAGAGCTGTTGTGAGGTTGACATGGGGTCTAGCAAGGAGCTAGTGGGCTGTTAGCTTTATCTCGGTTTGACACACACTTATAGTCCAGGCTCTTTCATGTATAATCCCTATTTATCTGGAGGAAGGGAGCAAAATTTGCCCCATCTAACACATGTAGGAGCCAGTTCTCAAGGGTTAAGTTACTTGCCCAAGCTAACCCAGTTAGTAATAGATGCAGTCATATTCAAACAGATCTTTCTATTTCAAGCCTAGCATTCTTAAACAAACAAACAAACCGATAAACAAACCGCACCATCACGGCTAAAGTTAACCAAGCCCACATTGTGTGCCGGGCCTTTGCATATATCATCTATGACTACAAAGCTATGAAGCAAGGTGGTTAGCTTGACCTTACAGATAAGGAAACTGAGATGTAAAGCAGTGAAGTCACTTGCTGAAGTCACTTGCTCGGGGTCACCTAGCTGGCTTAGAGGCGGGGCTGGATTCCAGCATCATCTATCTAACCTAGAGTGCTTGACACCCACCCTGACTCTGGCTCCAGGTCACTAGGCTCTGCCCAGGCCTGGCAGGACTCAGGGCCCAACCATGAGTCACACCGGAAAGTTCCACAAGACCAGGATCCCTGCAGGAACCCCAGGGCCCCACCCCCAGGCTCCCAGTGTTGCTCCCAGCCCTGTAGGGCCCCAGGTCCCAGTTCCTAGGCCATGTCACAAGTGCAAAATGAACACGCTGTACACAAGTTTCAGGGAGAAGAATGTCCCTAGGAGGCTTTTCTAACTCAAGAAGGGCAGTGGACTCAGATGCAAACAAGCATTGGGTAAAATCCTGACTGTGTGATTCTAAGCAATCGGGGCTCTGAGCCTTAGCTTTCTTATCTGTAAAATGGGCTTCTAAAAGTACCAACCTCCCAGGGATGTAGGGATGACTTCATGAGGTCATAGACGTGAAAGTTTATTGTACGCTGCAAGTGCCATACGTGGGTGAGCTACTGGTATTTTGTTGTACCGACTTCCGGGAGTCCCTCTGAACTGGGGGAAGACTCACAGTGTGAACGTAGCAGGGCAGAGACGAGGTACCGGTTGAGGTGCCACAACGCCAGGACCCCTGGCAGAGGCCAAGGCTCAGGCCACCACTGGTGGGAAGCTCAGGGCCTCACACGGCTGGGGACTGTCCCTCTTACTAAAGGACCTTATTCTGGCTTCTGTCCAGCACTGCCTTTCTCCCTAAGATGAGCTCGCACCACCTTCCAGCCTTCGGCCGTGCCCTGTGGCCGTTCAGTCTCAGCACGGGTGGGGCGCGTGCGCCAAGGCAAAGGGGAGGGGAGCGGTTACCCACGCACCCGCTGTGTGCCGGGCACTGGCCAGAGCTCTCCTACGTGATCTCATCAGTCCTCAGGGTCATTAGTCTTATTTCACAGACGAAGAAAAAGGGAGTTAAGTGGCTGGCCCAAGGTCCCACTGCTACTCCGTGACAGACCCAGCATTGGGACCCAGGTCTGCCTGATTCCAAAGCCAGAAGATGCATTCCCTGTTTCCACACATCCTCGCCACCCCTCCTTGCCCCCACCCCCAATTCTGCCCCTCTTAAAGCTGCCAGGGACTAACCTGTCTCCTTTTTATGGACATCAAGTCTCCAGACAATGGCCACTTCAGCCCTGGGTCCCCTGGGTCAGCAGCAGCTGCCCTTCAGGTCCCTAGACACACGTAAGTGTGCTCCTGCTCAGCTGCGGGGGCGTCGGGACCCGCGTCTGCCAAGTAGCCCTGCGCTCCCTGGGGGAGCCGTTCCTGGTCCCTGCCTCTAGCAAGCTGAGTGCGGTCAGGAACTCAAGATTCCTCCTAGAATTCAGCCCACAGCTCCCAGAAAAATGAGAGAGCGATCAAACTAATCACCTTGAACTCGCAGAAGAGGGAATTTTTAAAAAATAAAAACAAAAAACCCAACTTGGCAGGGATGACGGTGTTGACTTGGGCCAGGTGTTCTAATGAGGGGGACGTCTACCTGCCCAGCTGAGTAATAACGGCAAATGCTTTTAAGCACAGTGGGAGGTGAGGGATGGCCACGGAGCCGCCGGGGGTCCCAGAGGTCTAGAGCCTTCTGCCTCCTTCACACATCCCTGCAGACTGTCCTCAGCTCAGGGTCCCCGAGCACAGGCGGGCTTCCTCCACAGTTCCTGCTGCCCCCCAGGAAAACCTGCCCTCCTGAGCAGCCAATCAGCTCTCAGCAGAAATTTTAAGGGAAGTCAGACATGGCCCATGGGCCAGGCCAGTTCCCAGCTTGTCCTGCTTCTCTGAGGACTTGAGAGGCGGCTGCAGAGGCAGAGATGGTGGGAGGATGTCAGAGACCTCTGTAAGGGCCAAGAGGGAGGTGAGAAGATGCCTCGTGTGGCTGCTCAGGCACTTCCCATCACCCCTGCCTGCCCGCTGCTCCCTCTCCCAGATCTGGAGCCCCCCAAAGGCTCTCCAGGAAAGGAACAGGACTGGCATTTGTAGATGGCCTGCTATGGCCAGCAGCTGCATTCTGCCATGCGTCCCTCCTCAAAGAGTCAGCAAAGCCTGGAGGTTGAGAACACAAACTCCAGAGCACAACTTCTGGGCTCAAACCCTCACTCTGCTCCTTTCTAGCTGTGAGAACTTGGTCACGTCACTTAACCTCTCGGCCTTTGTTTCCCCTTTGCAAAATGGGGATAATAATAATTCCTACCTCACAGGAACTATTATTAAAGAGGATTAAATGAGTAAATACATAGAAAGCACTTAGAGCATGTTATGTCCTCAATAACTATAAATTAAAGTACTAAATCTAAATTAATAAATCACTCCACCTACAGCTGGGGAAGGTTAGGGATCTTGTCCAAGAGTGCTGGAACCATAGCTCAGCCTACACACCTTCTCCCGCACCTTGCCTCTGCAGTTTCCCTGGTGTGTGTGTGTGTGTGTGTGTGTGTGTGTGTATGTGTGTGTGTGCACGTGTGTGCACATGCAGGCCTGCACACACACAAACATTCTGGCCTTGCTAAGAATGGTCGAGTACAAGACAAACAGGACAGGCTTTTTCTTAAGCAGTGCTTTTCAGACTTGTTGACTGTAGCTCACAGTAGGAACAATATTTTATAATCTAACCCACATACACAAAAGAAAGGGCTGGGGCTGCTGGGCCTGGGGGTGAAGAGTGCAGAAGGGGCGGGTACTTCCCCCACTGGGGGCCACATTTCCTTGGCACAAGCTCTCAGAGTGAGTGACCAGCCCAGCAGCCTCTTCTTTTGACCCTCCCTAGACGTTTGTAGGCTAAGCAGGTGCCCCCAAGCCCCAGGCAGGTGGCCCATGGCCCTCTGCCCACTTCTGCAGGTCCTGCTGGGGAAAGACTCTAGGGGAGCTGGAGTCTGTGCTTGGACACACCTGGGCACACTCCTCTTCTCAGACACTTCCTTGTCTAGGGGGCTTTGCTCAGCCCCCAGCTGCTGGCCCCAGGGCATCTACCTCCCAGCTCAGCAGGGCGGACAGCTGGGGTGGGTTGGCAGGGGAGCAGCCTGAGGGATGCTCTTCACTCTGCTTTCAGAATGCTTCCCCAGCAAGGACATCTCCAGCAGGGACATCATCTCCTGCTCGGGCATCTCCAACTGGGACACCTCCAGCCCGGGCATCTCCAGCTCGGGCATCTCCGGCTCGGGCATCACCTTCCAGGTCATCGTCCAGCAGGTCATCATCTGCCAGGTCGGCCTCCATGACATCCTCCCCGACCAGAGTGTACCTTGTTAGAGCAACACCAGTGGGGGCTGTACCCGTCCGGGCATCTCCTGCCAGGGCAGCGCCAGCCACCAGGGTCACCGTGGAGAGCCCAGGTAAGGAGAATGCTTCAGGGAAGGCAAGAGGAACGGGGAAGTAGTCCATGGGCCAGGGGGAAATCTCAGCGCCGGCACCCTCTGCTCCTCATGATGGATAATGATGGGGGGATGGGGGGTTGGGGTGGGCAGTGAGGGACCTGGGGAGGTAGGGGAAGAAAGGAACCCTCACATGAAAACTCAAGACAGTGGAAAATTCGGGGCAAAGGGGGTAGGCAATAAGAAACCGGGCCCAACGAAGCGGTGTGTAGCTTTGGAGGCTGCACAACCCAGGTCGCTGATTTCAATAGCGATGGCCCTCAGTTAGAGACCAGGGTTCTTCCTTGGGTGGCCTTGGGGGTCTGCCTGGGAAGCTAGGGTCTTCAGCAGAGCAAGATCATTATTAGTGGGCCCCCCTGGGAGTGGACAGGAAGTGGGGAGGTTCTGACCAGGCATACACCTCCACCCCCAGCCTCCCAAACGGGGGGTTGTATGGTTGAGCTACCAGGAAGTCAGAGAGGCCAAGTGGGCCTTGGGGACCGGCTCTGCCATAGGGAAGCTGTTCCTGCCCCTCCCAACCTTGCCCTTCTCCCATCTCAGACGTCAGACTGTCCCCACCACAATACAAACAGGCCTGGATGATATCTGGCTCTGGAGGGTCACCCAAGGTTTGGGCCCATCCACAGTCTTGCCCCCTTGAGGGCGGGCGAGGTACTCTGGCATGGTACGAGTATGGAACCAGACACGCCACTAACTAGCCAAGTAACCTTGGCTAAACTATTTCATGTCCATGAACCTCAGTATCCCCATCTATAAAATGGGCCCAGTAAGACAGCTCACAAGGTTTCCGTGAGAATTAAGGACGAGAACACACGCAAAGTGCCTGGCCGGCTCAGAGGAAGAGCTCATGCAGAACAGCTGTTGGTGGCAGGCAGGGTGGTGCCTATTCTGGGATGCAGAGGTCCTACTGGGGCTCTCCCCAGCCAGCCCTGTTTCCTTCTCCCTCCTCCTCTGTGCTGGACTCCCCGCAGTAGCCTCACCCTCCCTGCTCCTAGGTGTCAGCCTGCCCAAGTTCTCCTGGCGGGACGGCATGAAGCGGCTGCCGCTCATCGGGTGCGTGCTCCTCCTCATCGCCCTCGTGGTGTCGCTCATCATCCTCTGTGAGTCCAAGGAGGGATCGGGGCGGTTCTGGTCACTGCAGGGTGGAGGGGAACCCGGGGAAGGGGACACGCACAAGGGACAGGCCTGGGACCACAGGCTTACCCGGCTGCCCTGTTCACAAAGGGCCACTCCTGCAAATGGCCTTGGACCACAGTGTACCCGCCTTTGAGAGAGCCAGGTTAGGAGTCGGGGAGTCAGAAGAACCTGGGCTTGGCCTCACCTGTGCCGCTGCTTACTTGGGCAGGTTAGTCAGCCACTCCGAGCTCCAGTGGGATAAAATTCATTTGTTCATTCAATTTACTATGTGCCCCATGAAATCTCAGTCCAAATTCCCTTAGTTATGAGGAATAAATGAGATAATGGTGCAATATTTGGCACAAAATCTCACTCTAAAAATGCTAGCTGTTTCAGGCCAGGCACAGTGGCTCACACCTGTAACCCTAGCACTCTGGGAGGCCGAGGAGGGAGTATTACTTGAGGCCAGGAGTTTGAGACCAGCCTGAGCAAGACCGAGAACACATCTTTACAAAAAATAGAAAAATTAGCCAGACATGGTGTCATGCACCTGTAGTCCCAGCTACTCAGGAGGCTGAGGCAGGAGGATCACTCAAGCCCAGAAGTTTGATGTTGCAGTGAGCTATGATACCACTGCATTCTAGCCAGGGTGACAGAATGAGACTCTATCTCAAAAAGAAAAAAAAAAGTATCTCAATGATATTTAGTCAATGGGATGAAGTGTTCCATGTTCAGGGTTCAGGCCCCTCAATCTCCTCCCTCTCTTTGGAAAAGATGCCCAGGCATGTCCCTGGGATCTCTGCTCAGGGGTCCGTTGTGAGCCCAGCACAGTGGGAAGCCCTAGGAGGGAGCAGATGCGAGCACTCGTTGTGCTCTCCTGTCCTCCATGAGAGGGCAGTTTCCCAGAGGATGGCTCGAAGTCATGAAGGGCAGATGCATTTGAGTGTGACTGTGAGGAGGAGGCGACAGCTGTGCGGGCTGGGTGCAGGGGACAGCTCCTGATGGGCGTGAGGCCAGATGGGGACCTGGAAGACAGGAGAGCAGTCATGCCCCAGACAGGGCACACGCGTGGATGGCAGCCAGGAAACGTGGGCAGCCAGGTGTGCAAGGGCGGCATAGGGGAGAAGGAGAGGGAGGACCCAGCTAACCAGAGAGGAAAGGGCACATCTGGAGACCTAAGGCCACCTGTTTGGTTTGGTAAGGCCAGGCCACACCATGGAGAACTTTCAGCACTGGGCTGAGGAATAAAGACTCTGTCGAAGAGGCAGCGTGGGTGGTGGCAGGCTGGGTGGGTGAGCACGTGGAAACATCCGCTGGCAGGGCTGTGTGAGGAGGAGGCAGCATGCTGGAAGAGCAGGCTATCACACCATGCAGACCTGCTGGGGTACCCCAGTTCTGCCACTGATCCTTGCTTAACTTTGGCAAGTTCATTAACATTCCAAGCCTCAGTTTCCCTTTCTGCCTGATCAGGCTGTGGAGTCACTGTCACAATGTGCAGAAAAGCCTCACTCTGCACGATGCCTGCCACAGGGAGCCTCCTGCCAGCACCTGCTGCCTGCCCTCCCTCCCTTCCCCACCCAGGGCGCCCCACTCCATGAGAGCATGGGGAACCACCCGTGGAGGGATGAGATGGCGCCCACAGGTGGCCCCGCTGACTATAATTAAAGCTCTTGGTGTGGTTTCACAGCATTTTCTAAAGTCCTTCTGCCAGGGGGACCTGTAGAGTTCCAAGGCCAGGGAGGTGGCTTGACTCGTGCAGGCACAGAGAGCTACATGGTGGGGCAGGCTAGAGCCCAGCCCTCTCTCCGCCACGTGTCAACGTGTGGCTTCGTGAGCATTCTGAGGGGGCTGCCCAGGGGTCCCCGGAAGGCTCGGAACCCAGGGCCTGGGAGGAGAGGAAGTCCAGGGCTCGGAGAGGGGCCAGCCCAAGGGACCAGAGGGGATCCGTGCCTGGACCTGGAAGGAGCAGTCACACAGGGTGGCCTTCACCCTTAGTGACTGAGAGCATGGTGGGGCCAGGGGCAGAAGAGGGTGGTGGGGCTGAGGAGCCGGTTGAGGACGAGAGGCAGGGCGAGGAGCTAGGACGCAGGTCTCTGAGGCAGCCCAGGGGAGGTGTCGTCTCCCGGCAGGAGGGACCACGGCTTCTGGTTTGGAAAGAGGTTGCCATTAGCGATCAGTCATGAGGCTGATTTTCGTTTATGGTTTGCACAGTTGTTTTCTTTTAGACTCAACTTGTACATTTGGGAATCAGCCACCTAGAATGGCCCATTGAGTGAAAAGACATTCAAGGCATAAAAACAAGTGATGGGGAAAGAACCGAGCACAGGGGATGTCCCTGGTTCAGGGGAGAGGGAGCAGGAGAAAAGCCAGGAGCCTCTGGGGTGGAAGGACGGTAGCCTTTGAGAAGAGCAGACAGGTGGGGATTGCGTGGCTGTGACCGTGAAGTCGCTGTGACCCTGTGGAGCACAGAGGTGGGATGGCAGAGGGGTTCTGAGAAGGGGGCTCTGGGATACTGGAGGAGGTGGTTTCTCTGGCCACCACCCCTGCCAGACGTATGGAGGGGCAGTCCCAAAGTGGTACCCATCTCCACACCTCCCCCCTCTCTCTTCCTCTCTCCCTCTCTCTCTCTGTCCCTCTGGGTGGCTGGCTGCTCGAGTCTTCCTGGTGCTGCCCTGCTTGCAGGAGCTTTCTGGAGCACTCCGGAGCATTCCTGAGCAGCCTTTCTCTCCATACAGATGGGGGACGAGAGCCCCAGATTCCAAGAGGGATTGCAGGTCGGTGTCTCAGAACCCCCAGGGCCTTGGGCTGCTTTGTGCCTTGTCACTCTGGGCTGGCAATGACCCGGCTGTCCGCCTCTTTCCTTCCAGTCTACTTCTGGCAGGGCCGCACGGGGATCAAGTACAAGGAGCAGGTAGAGAGCTGTCCCAGGCACGCCGTTCGCTGCAATGGGGTGGTGGACTGCAAGCTGAAGAGTGACGAGCTGGGCTGCGGTAAGGAGGCTGGGCGGGGGGAGAGTGTGTGTGTGTGTGTGTCTGTGTGTGTGTGTGTGCATGGATGCACGTGCCCATACTCTGGTCACTACAAACTGTGATGCAAACTGTGTGGTGCCACTGAAACAGGAGGTGGTAGACCGGGAATCAGCAGATCTGGGGTCTAGTCATAGTAGACTGGGGTTTGAAACCTGGCTTTGAGTGCTGCATGACTTGGACAAGTCATTTACCTTCTCTGGGCTTCAGTCTCCTAATTCATAAAATGAATGAATGGGACAAGATTAGTGGTTCTCATATAAAATCTGACAACTCCCAGATATCAGACTGAGCAAAGCAGAGTATCTCTGGCTGGAGGTGGTGTGGGGTCTGGAGTCCCATCTATGTGCTTCTCTCCTTTGTCCAGCAGGTGACCTCTGACTTGTCACCCTGTGGTTTCTTGACCATCAGTTTGTAAACAGATGGCCTAGATGAGCTCTGGTCCTCAGTGGATCTTGCATGTGTTGTGTCCATACAGCCCTGCTGTGGGGGGTGCGTGCATGTCCCATCCATCCCACTGTTTACAGGTGCTCTTGCCCAAGACTGTCCATCTGGGACTGAGCCTGGCCCCTGGGCACTTGGTTAGATCATAGACCTCACTGGGCACAGGGTGATGGCTCCTGGCAGTGCTCACCCCTTCTCCCAGCAATGGCCCTGTGGGTCCTGTTGGGCGGCGAGCTGTCTGCCCTGCCCCAGCCCCTTGCCTTGGCTCTGCCTTACTGGGCACCCTGGGCTTCTGCCCATCACTGCTCAGGCCAAGCTCCCGGACCTCAACGAGGAACCTCAGGACAGGAGCGTCTCGGAGCCTTATTCAGCTCATCCCCCAAGAGCTTGAACCTTCCTAGGTGCTAAGCACTTGCTCTGCCTTTTTCTTGCCCTGCAGTGAGGTTTGACTGGGATAAGTCTCTGCTTAAAGTCTACTCTGGGTCCTCCCATGAGTGGCTTCCCATCTGCAGCAACAGCTGGAATGATTCCTACTCAGAGAAGACCTGCCAGCAGCTGGGCTTCCAGAGGTAAACCTCCCCCCACCCCAGGGCCAGCTTCAGGATGCCTCAGCCATGTCAGCCCAAGGCTGATCTCACCAGCTCCAGACACTGGTGAGGTCGTCAAAGAGATGGGGCCCTAGGATCCTGTGAGTTTGGAGCAAGTTATTTCCATGAGGCCAAAGCGATTATTGTAGAGCTGTAATAGTATTAATATCAGCTCCTATATGCTTCTTTGCATCAAAGCACCCTCTTGTCCATGATCACATGCGATGGTCACGTGGTGGCCCCTGAGGGGTGGATAGGTATTTGGGCAGGTCTTTTCTTCTTACATCTGGGAACTAAAAGTTCAGAGCATGCAGAACCCATCAGTGGACTTTGATCTGTGGCAGTTGTGGCTTGGGCTGGAACTCCTCAAATGGGGAATGAGATGAGGCAGGTGAGGCCAGGCAAAGACATAAGAATCTTTGGCTGTAAAGATTTCAACAAATTAGCCGATGCTGGTGGGTGGAGCAGGGAGTAGGGTGAGCAGCGCCCTTCCAACTTGAAGGAGCATTTAATTTGCAGGCCAGACAGGCATGTCCGTCCTGCCTCTTGGTCTGAGTTTTCAAGCTGAGTGGTTTGGGGGTTCACCAGTATGTGTGAGGAGAAGGGTTGAGGACCTCACTGTGGGTTCTTTGTAGAAGAAGCTCCTGAAAAACCAGAGGTGGGGGGAGTCTAGGACTTAGAACGAGTTCTCCACCCCCACCTCAGTCTCAGAGTCAGGACCCGTGAAAGGGGACCTGAGGGGTGGGATGGAAGACAATGGGCATCTTTTATCAGTGAGGTGGATGCCCGTATGCAAGTCCAGGCCTCCCTTGGGCATTCAGTTCTTTCAATGTCATTTATTCAAAGAACATTCATTGAGCTTCTGTTATGTGCCAAAGACTGCGTGGCGCCCAAACACAAAGGCTCCCACCCTTGAGGACCCTCTAGTGTGGTTAGTGAGAGAGCCTTAAACCATAGTCACAGCACAAGGTGATGTGTAATGATCAGGACAGTATGAAGCAGGAAGGGCACATGACAGAGGGGGTGCCTACTTGGAAGAGAGCAGACAGTGGAGGAACGGACCCTCTGGGTAGAGGAATGGCACGTATGAAAACATGGTGTCATGCAAGGGTACCGTGTTCTAGAAATGCACACAAGTTCCACACAGAGAGCGGCACACGTCAGAGTCACCTGCTGTGCTTGTAAAAATGTACCATCGCATGTGATCATGGACAAGAGGGTGCTTTGATGCAAAGAAGCATATAGGAGCTGATATTAATAATAATCCCAGAATCAGAACCTCTGAGATTAGGGCTTAGAACCTGCTTGGCAAACATCCCAAGGGGATTCTTAGGCACACCACGGCCTGAGACCCAGTGGGCATGTCCAGAGGCTCTCAAACTTTGATGTATAAGTCAGTAACCTGGGATTCCTTAGAATGCAGACTCTGGTTCAGTGGGGCTGGGGTGGTGCTGCTGCCTGGTCCACGTATCATGGTTTGGATGGAAAAGGGCTAGACTGGTGCTTCTCACACTTGAACATGCATCAGCATCACGGGACAGCCTCTTAAAATACAGACTGCTGGGCCCACCCCCAGACTTTCTGATTCAGTAAGTCTGGGGCGGGACCAGAGAATTTGCATTTCTGACAATTTCCCAGGCAGTGTTAATGCTGCCAGTCTACACTGGGAACTACTGGGTACTCCTGGGCTAGCCACACGGGGCTAGCGGGGGTGGGGCAGTGGAGTCACACTGTCCTAGGCTTTGACTGCTGCGTGGAAGAGCCGGCACCATTCAGGCCATCACAGCCTGGCCTCTGCCAGCCGGTGGGGACTCTAATGCCGGCTGCAGGACCTGGGTAGGCTCTGCCTCCAGGGGCTCACTCTTCTTCCCTCCCCTCCCTTGCAGTGCTTACCGGACAACCGAAGTGGCCCACAGAGACTTTGCCAGCAGCTTCTCAATCTCTGAATACAACTCCACCGTCCAGGAAAGCCTCCACAGGTACGGCAGGGCGGGCTGGCTGCCTGTCTGTGAGCAGGCGAATGAGGAGGTGGGGAGGGGCTTTGGGTCAGGGAGTTCCCCTTTCCTTTTGGGGTCCCAGCCTCTAGGCGTTCAGAGTGTCAGGGCACCCTGACAGTCATCCACCATACTGCCTGCTGACGTAAAAGTTCTTATTTGAGGCTTGGTGCAGAGGTCACCAGGGCTGCCCCTGAGACTTTACCTGGATGGCAGAGACAATTCACAAGCCTTGGGGCCGCCAGTCAGCCAGGTGTCTGGACTCAAAGCTGCTCCTGGGAGTGGGTCTGGGCGGGGACAGAGAAGCATCCCTGAGGTTGGGGTTGGGACAGAGTTGGGGACCAGCAGCAGGGGGATGCCACGTATGAGCATCAGGGACAGGGAAGCCCACCTGGGAAGCGTCGGCCTCCTCATCCTCTGTCATCTTTGCCATGCAGCCCCTTGTCCCAGGCCTGCTGAGGGGGAAGTTTTGGGGTGCTCTGCCAGCTAACCTGGTTTACCTGTCGGGGGCAATTCGCTGCACCTGGGTGGCTGCTCCGTGCATGCTACCTTCAGGAACTGCGTCAGGTCACCTGTTTAGTTGTGGAAAGATGCTGGGACAATGAAGTAGTCCTTTTTTCAAAGAACATGGATCTAGCCAATGTGTGCAATCTGCCACAGAAATTTGGGGAGTTGGGGGTGAGAGTGGAGGTGGTTTGCACTGACCTGCCCCGAAGGCATGAAGAATGTCCCACTGAGAGGGAGAAGGGCAGACTCTCCACCTTCTTGTGCAAAGGTTAGCTTCCTTAGAAATGGAATAGGAACTGAGCAGGAGTCAATCAGGAAGGCTTCCTGGAGGAGGTGGCTAATGTGCCCTTTTCCCATCCTCTGTGTCTCCTCCTGCAGGTCTGAATGTCCTTCCCAGCAGTATGTCTCTCTCCAGTGTTCCCGTAAGATGCTCTTCTTCTTGGATTGTGGCCAGTGTGGAGTGGGAGTCAGGGGGCAGAAGGGTGGGACCCCTCTGAGAGAGATAACTGGCCCTGGGGGTCCAAGCCAGGAAGAGGAGCTTAGCCAGCAGGCCTGCTTCAGGGCCCCGGGCCCTGTAAGGCACTGGGTAGCCCAGGCTAACATTTCCCCTCCTGCTGACTCTGGCAGGAACTCAGCCCAGCAACCTCTCTCATTTCAAGGAAGCTGTTTGAGCCTCCCGTGCATCACGGGAAGTTTCGTCCTCCTTTGTTTTGAATGATAGAGACTCCCATCACAGTGCTCATCAGTTTAGGGTCTTATTAGAATGCGTTCTGCATGCTCCAGCCCCTAACAACAGCCCTGGCATTCAGCATCACAACCCCAGTGCCTGGCACAGGGCCCAAAGCATGGGGCACTTAGTAAGCGTTTATCAAATTAACGAACGAATGAATGAGTGGAAAGAAAGAGGAACCTGCCCCAGTGGATCGAACTTCCCAATGGATGATCCCAGAAAGCTAACCCAGCATGCAGTAGCTCTGCCTTGGCAGGAAACAGCTGTGTGTGTCAGATTAAATGAGCAAAGCAGCATCCACGGGTGGGTGGGTACCTTTCAGGACGGGGCTACCCACGCCTGCCCTGCGCCCAAGATTGTGGCACAGGCTTCCTGAGCCAAGAAGAACCCTGGGAGAAGCAGGGTTTGCAATTTGTCTCTTCCTCTTCCCCCAGACTGTGGACTGAGGGCCATGACCGGGCGGATTGTGGGAGGAGCGCTGGCCCCAGAGAACAAGTGGCCTTGGCAAGTTAGCCTGCACTACGGCACCACCCACATTTGTGGAGGCACGCTCATAGATGCCCAGTGGGTACTCACTGCTGCCCACTGCTTCTTTGTGTAAGTACCCGAGTGGGCGGGTGACACCATGCTGCCAGGACCGGGGAACACCAGGAAGGGCAGACTGTGGGCTGACTTCTCTGTAGGTGAGGACTGTGGGTGTGAGTTCAGCCCCCATGGGCCAGGCAGTGCTGGTGTGGCTTGGATGGTCACTTGAGGGCCAGGATTTGCAGCTCGTGTCCTGAGAGTGTGAGTTGGGGGTACTGTTGTCAGTGAGGCCCAAGGACGAGAAAGTCCCAGTGATGGCACCTAGGGAGAGAAAGGCAGGCAAGAAGAGGGACTTCATGGGAGCCTGCCCATGAAGACCAGGGAAAAATAAAGAGGCTTTGGGCTGGTTGCTGCTTACAGCAACTGAAACTCATGGCAGAGGAGCCAAAAAAATCAGAAGTGCTGTCCCAGAGACTGTAGGTGATTTTGGGGACATCACTGTAGTCAGCTTCTGACAGTCACCAGACAGCCTTGTCCATTTGGGGGTCCACAGCCCAGGCTGGGGGCAGGAAAGAGCCCTGGGTCCAGGCCTCTGGGGCAATGAGTCTTCTGTGGTCACTTAGTCCTGTCTACGTCGCTGTTTCTGATGAGGACACTACTGAGATCGGTCCCACCTGCCGTATTTGATCCTTGATGACTTGCAGATGAGATAGTGGAGGGTGAATGCCACAAAGGGGTCTTACTCATCCCTTCTCCTTCGTTATTGTAAGGCACAGAGCAACCAGTTCAGAATTTTTCGGGGGCAAGGTGTGGAAGGTTGCTCTGGACCCCAGGGATAAGATAGAGGGTTCCTGCCAGAGGTCTTTTCATCCATCCTCCTGCCTCCAAGCTGGTGCTCGGCTGTGGCTCCCTGTATGTAGCAGATGTGACGCGTAAACTCTGCCAGGTGGATAACTGGCGCCTGCTCCCTCCGGCTCTTGCAGGACCCGGGAGAAGATCCTAGATGGCTGGAAGGTGTACGCAGGCACCAACAACCTGCACCAGCTGCCCGAGGCAGCCTCCATCTCCCAGATCATCATCAACAGCAACTACACCGACGAGCAAGACGACTATGACATCGCCCTCATGCGACTCTCCAAGCCCCTGACCCTGTCCTGTGAGTGAATCTGTACCCCCTTCCCCAACTCCGGCACCCTTGGCAGCCCTTGGACTTGGCAGCGCCTGTCAACTCATGTTGGGGCCCCAGAGCTTCAGAAGGCACATGGCAGAAGTGAAAGATGTTTAGAGATCATTAAAGCGAACGCTTCTGTTTTACAATTGGGGAAACCGAGGCACGAGGCTTAGAAATAGATTTGCCCCAAATGACACATCTTGCATTACAAACTGGTGACAGAGCAAGGGCTTGGGCACTGGTCTTAGTCAATATATAAATAGATTGAATTGTTTCACTGATTTTAACTGAGCACCTAGGGTCAAAACACTGTAGAAGGCATTTTACGTGTATAAAATTCCATTGATTCTTCACAACCAACCCTGTGGAGCAGTTACTATTGTTAGCTTAATTTGATATATGAGGAAATGGAGCTTTAGAGAGAGGGAATTACCTGGGGCCACAAGTAAGAGCTCCAGGGTTGGACCCAGGTTGGTCTGACTCCTAAGCCAGGCTCTTCCCACTCAGCTCCACGCAGGCAAACTGCTCACACTGCAGTTGAGAATATAGCTCGAGTACACACTCAAACAGCTAATTGCCATGAAGCCGTTGCTGAGGACCAAATGAAGCTACATAAAGGAAATGCTAGGGAAGTTCCCAGAAAATCACTGGGGACAGGGGACGTCAAAGGAGGCCTCATTCATTCATTCACCCACTCACTCATTTGTTCATTTGTCAAATACCATGTGTCTATACCGCCAGCCCTGCAGTCACAATGGCAAATGTAACAAAATTGGTGACACAAAACAAAGACAACTGGTAGAGGCCAGTGATGTCACAGACCGGGCAACTCATCAGCCCTGGCAGGCTGGGGGAGGCGTCCCTGATAAAGGGTAGCTAAGGTGAGTCCTCAAAGGATGGGTGAACATGGGTAAAGGGGGAGCAGGAGGGACCCTGAAGAATGAGACCAGGGTCCTCTGACATAAGCAAAGTCGCACAAGTGAGAAAAGTAGGAGCACTGGGACTTCCGGAAGCCTTGGAGGGCTCTCTGGTTAGTCCGGCCATTCTCGTGCTCTGAGCCTGTGAGCTGGTGTTTCCCGGAACATTAATTATGGAGGCGGTGTCTGTCGTGAGTCAGAGCAGGCAGCTCAAGGCGTGGGGTGAGGAGGAGGATCCCAGAGTAGAGCTCGGTTGGGCGGGGCTGGCCAGAACCACGCCCAGGCACGACCACGCCCATCCAGAGCCCCGCCCCGCCCACCATCCCTCCTCCCGCGCCTCCAGCTTCGTTTCCGTGGGGGCGCCGGCTATGAGGTGAGGGGTGCCAGCTGCCTCCTGCCCTGCTGCTCACCTGCACGTACAAGGCGACAAGAGCAGGCCTTCCCCCTATAAAACCCAGACTCCGACTAAACGTCCAGATCTTACCTCTCACCCACCCCACTCCCTTAATATTACTTAGAATTCCAAATCAAATAATCCCTAAAACCCAATGAAGGCTACTCATATTGCACATCCTTTTCAGACCGTGGCAGCCCCTCTCCAGGCTGTGACAGGCCCCTGGGCAGGAGGCAGACCTTTAGTCAGCTCACATTTCTGCAGTCCTGTGGTCAGAACATGTGCCCTGATTTGGGGTTTAGAAATCAGGGCAGATTTTTCTTAAACTCATTTGCAGGCCAAGCACCTTGAAGTCACAGTACTTTCTGAGCAAACTTGTGAAAACGAGTGGAATATAGAACAATGGAACACAGAAAGGTGTTACATGTTTTTAAAACTTTACATCTCAAAAATGAGCATAGAAAAGAAATCATGTTTTGCATTTTTTTGTTAATAATGAATGCTATCCCTTCATTTATTCTTTGCTTGTTTAGTCTCTGGCAGACAAAATGTGGTGGACACCACAATTTAAAGTCCAATTTATTGGAGAAGAATTTAAAATTCATTCATCCTTCCCCTCCCTGCTCTTCCTCCAGCAGTGCCTGAGACTATTGCCAACATTCTATCTACCAACTATTATTTTCTTCCTGCAAATTGGAGTTCAGTGATCAGTGCCCTAGTCCATCTAAGGGACACCAGTCCTCAGAGTGAGCTTATGAATGACACGCAACAGCACCTTCTAAATATTTCTGAGTGTGGGACCAAGTTAGCAGGGGTTTTGTGGTCTGCATCTCTGGGGATGTGCTCTTCCTACTTGGAGAGATTTCTCACTCTGAGCCGGGTGAACATTTGAAAGGAGAACCATGGGCCCTGGTTCTCCCCAGGTGAACCAGGATGCCTAGGCGCCCTCCCCAAGCCAGGCTGGACACACCACTGAGATGCCATGACCATAATATCTGGCACTTAGCCTGCTGCGATTCCTTCCTGTGATGGAAAGGCATGGAAGAGGCCCAGCCAGGACAGCCACTCTTGGTGGGGAGAGACCCTCAGCTGCCCAGTATCAGCTTGGCACAAAGGAGCTTCCAAGGCTTATACATCTGCCCACGGGGCAACCACTGAAATCAGACTGGCTTTGAGAATTCTGCCAGCACCTAGAAGGCTGGAGGGTTGAGATAAAGTGATTACGTTTCTTACCTGATCAGTCCAAGGCCCTGGGGCACTCTGGGGCAAGGAGAGGGCTCCTAGGACATTGGTACTTTTGACCCTCCACCCACTCCACCAAAACCTCCAGTCTTGTTCCTCCACTGACGTCTTGAGGTCTCCTTGCAGCTCACATCCACCCTGCCTGCCTCCCCATGCATGGACAGACCTTCAGCCTCAATGAGACCTGCTGGATCACAGGCTTTGGCAAGACCAAGGAGACAGATGGTGAGAGGCAGAGATGCTAGGCTGCACATGTGTGTACGCGGAGGCAATGTGTCTGGTATATGGATGCAGGCCTGTCTAGATGAGTTTGGGTGTGCAGATTCATGGGCCTGGGTGTGAATGTGTGTATATAGACACCTGTGTCTGTGCCAGTGCAGCTGGTGTGACAATGCCCTCTAGTCAAGACTAGAAAACTCCTGTAGTTAAACAAGTTGGGTTCATTGCTCATTGCAATTAGGCAGAGCACACACGATGGAGAACCGTGGAGCATCTCAAAAGAGGGAGGGTGCCATTATAGAAATGACCTGTAGGATTTGGGTGGTTTGGGAAGGGTTCAAAGATGTGGGTCTTTTCTCTAGATTGGATGCTGTCAGGAAGCAAGGGTAACTCTATGATTGGGATTCCTACTAATCTTATCTAGAAGAGTCTAGACTCTGTAATTGGTAAGGAAGCAGCAGTTACTCATACTGGCCAGGAGAGGGGGGTCTTTGGTATTTTTGTGGTTTGCACAGTGACCTTGTTTTTGTCTGGTCTTAAGCAGGATGATGAAGTGGGCTTGTTTTGCCTCACTTCATCCCGGTCACAGACTGCCTGGTCCAGTATTGGCCCTGCAAGACTGTTTGCATTGCGCAGGAGGACACCGTGGTCTGGCTGGGCTCGCTGTTAGCCACAGGCCTGCCTGTTCCACGTGTCAGGGCTGCTTTTCCCTGTCCTGTGTGATGGTGAGATGACTGGTCTGGGTGCAGCGTTCTTATGACCTTGTCTCCATACCTGCTAGCTGTGTGACCGTGGGCAAGTCCCTTCCTCAGTTCTAGGTTGCCCCACCTGTAAACAGATTAGTAAGACCTGCCTCTTTAGGACACATGGTTTCTGAAAACAGATGAAGCGATGTATCTGATGGTGCTTTGGACTTAGACAGGCGTTGTGCAGCATGTCAGGCCATCGTATAGGCTTGGGAGTGTGTCTGTGTACACGTGTGTCTCTGTTTTATGTGCAGAGAATTGTGTCTCATGTGACGGTGTGTGTGCCCACATGCCCTGGGTGTCCAACCACAGAGGGCCTCCCTTGGGCCGGGGCCGGGCATGGGCATGGTGCCCTCCACTCCCAGGAGTCTGAGTCCCGGGTTGGGCAGCTGGAAGCCATGAAGCTTCCCATGGTCTCACTGGCTCCTGTCCTCTTTCTTCTCCAACCCCACTTCACTGAAGAGAAGACATCCCCCTTCCTGCGAGAGGTGCAGGTCAGGCTCATCGACTTCCGGAAGTGCAATGACTATTCAGTCTATGACAGTTACCTTACCCCGAGGATGATGTGTGCTGGGGACCTCCGTGGGGGCAGAGACTCCTGCCAGGTGAGGGGCCTGTGGGTGGGGCTCAGGCCCCAGTACCCTAGGGACGGGGCAGGCTGGGGTGTGGGGTTGGCGTGGGGTCAGGCCGGCCCTGCTGACATGCTGTTCCTCCCCAGGGAGACAGTGGGGGGCCTCTTGTCTGCGAGCAGAACAACCGCTGGTATCTGACAGGTGTCACCAGCTGGGGCACAGGCTGTGGCCAGAGAAACAAGCCCGGCGTGTACACCAAAGTGACAGAAATTCTCCCCTGGATTTACAGCAAGATGGAGGTGAGCCCTGCCCCGGGACACGGCACCGAGCAGGCTGGGGACTCCCAAAGGTGGAGACGAGCCCTAGACGAGCCCCTAGGCCTTCCCTGGGGAGTAGGCAGAGGTCCCCTCAGCCCAGTGCATTCAGAGGAGTTCAGGATAGGGTCAAACATCAGGCCAGTGCCAGCCCCAGTGCCACTGCCTTCTCCCCAGTGGTGGCCGAGGTGTGAGTTCACACAGACCACTGAGGAGGCGTGTGACAGGAGGCCTCCCTCCCCGGCCACGGGTTGGGTATCAGGAATGGGGGTCTGCCCCTAACTCTGCTGACCCAGTTCCGACTCTGCCTCCCCTGGGCCTCCCGTCTTAGCAGTAAAGCAGGGAGTGCTGCGCCTGCCCTTCGCTTCTCTGCCTGGCGCGGGGCAGAAAGTGGAGAGCTGGGAGGGGGAGGGGGCAGGGAAGGCTGCTCCAGAAATCCGGTGTGGTGGGGCTCTCGGAACCTGCTTCCATCCCTTCCCTCCCGGCCCCTCCTCTCTGGGAGGCAGTGCCAGGTGACAGCTGGGCTGAACTGTCGGCTCTGAGCCCCACCGTGGGCTTCTGTGCTCCCCGCCCACCTTCATCCTGTTCTCCTGTTCTCTTCCTCAGAGTGAGGTGCGCTTCCGGAAATCCTAAAGCAGCTGGCCTGCTCCTCCTCACAGTGCTGGCTGCTGTGAGGACTCTGGCCCAAGGGACTGGCCATTTGCGGCATCTTCGGGGCTAAGGGCCCCCAGGCACCTTTGTGCTCCCACCTCCGCTGTCTGCTGCCTCTGTGTGTGCGTGTGTGCGTGTGTGCGTGTGTGTTGCTGCTCTCCCAAGTTCTTCAGAAACCAGAAGAGCTGACAACTCTTCCAGAAATCCCAGGCTGGAGATCATCTGGAGATAAGAGTTCGGGTACCACGGATGTTCCTGCAGAGATGTCTGTAAATGGTTGGAGGAGGCGGAGCCCAGAGCGCAGGGAAGGGCCTGGAATTCTTGCTCCTCCGACCCTGACTTGGAGACTAGCCCAGTGTGGGCAGATGCCGGCAGCTCAGGTGATGCCACTGCTGACCCAGGACAGATGACAGGTTCTGTGGGTGTGCCAGCCTCCCGGCGCCTGGACTCGCAGCGGTGCTAAGACCTCAGGCGTCCTGCCGGTGCCTCGGATGTCAAGAGTTGGGCTGTGCTGTGACTAACCAGGCTGATGACTGTGGATAGATCTCCGTGTATTTGTCTGGTCACAAGTTGTTGGGGCAGATTTTATTTTATTTTATTTTTATATTCAAGAAATGGAAATAGATGTATTTTTAAAGATTCCTCTAAAAATTTCAGGAGCCTTAAGAGCTAGCATCAACCACCCCAAGAACTCCAGGGGACTCATATGGAAGTTGTACCACTTTTAGAGTCCTACAAAATGTTTCTGGCTTCAAAGGACTGCATAAAGGACTGGACGAAAGCCCCAGGATGGATGTCTCCCAAGTCAGTGCAGCATCTAGAGCCCCTTTGAGATACTCAGGGCAGCAAATCCTCATCTGGGCTGGCGGGCAAGTCCAACACAGATTCACATTCCCGAATCCAAGGGCCCCAGCCGAGGCATGAAGAAATTGACTCTGCTCCTGCCTAGGCTCCCAGGAGCCACAGGGCAGTGCAAATACACAGAGTCCCTGTACCCAGGGGCTGTCCTGGGCCTTTGGGGTTTCTTCCCGGCTTTATCCACCTTTTAGTTTCTCAGTTGTTCCAGAAACATAGCACTGGCATAAAAACTGCCATGGAGAGAAAGCTAACCCTGTCTCCAGATGCCCCCCCAAACAGCTCTTCTGAAGGATCCCAGCTGGCCCTGCTCCTGCAAACCATCAGTGGGGCTGGCCTTGCAGCTGAAGGCCCAGGCCTTCCCCAGCCTTTTCTCTGGGGCACCTGTTTCGCCCCCCAGTCTCCCTCTCCTCACCTTCCTCAAGCTGGTCTGGGCCCTTGTGGTGCTGTGCTTCTCAGAGGCAGGGGCTGAGCAGACCAGCCCAGCTCAGCCCAGCCAGGAGGCTGCTCAGGGGAAAGACTGCCCCAGAATTGAAGGCTGGAGCTGGCTGGAGTGGCTGGGCAGGATCTGATGGGTCTGAGTACATTGGGGAATGTTAGCAAGGCTGGGGAGGGGGCCACATTCATGTCTACAGCAGTCCCCAGTAATGGCCTTCAGCAATAAAAGTCATGTGACCTGAAGAATTTGTCTTTGGATATTTTACTGGTACCTTAGGTAGGAAATTGAGATTGCCCACCCAGGTACTGAGACATCCTCAGTGGCTTTGATTCTTAGTTTTGGTTCCTCATCTTTGGGCTCTGATCACTTAATCATGTATTCATTTATTTAACCATTCACCAACTATGTCTGTGCCTGCCCTGTGCCAGGTACTCATGAGTAGGACCAGGGAATATGAGGGGCATGACAGCATCCTCAAGGAACTGGGTCATAACCCGGTGTGCTGCAAGCTGTACTTGAGTGTGGATCCCATGCGTGGAACTTGGACAAAGCAGCCACAAGCCACAGCTCGAGATGTCAGGAAAGCCTTCGCAGAGATCAGGTTTGAAAGGAGCCTCCAAGAGTAGGTGAGCCTTCACAGAGCAGATGGGTGCAGGGAGAAGGGCACTGGAGGGCACGTCCTTACTCTTCTTCCTCTTCTTCTGCCTCTGCCTTTGCCAGCCCAGCAACAGGCGTGTTTATAAGGAAGCCCCAAAGCTTACTCAGCTGTTTCCAAGAGAATTGGATGGGCAGCTCCACCGGCCTGTTCTGGAAGATTTCCCCCTTCTTCCTGTACGCTTACTTTTCCTGTGTTTAATGTATCAACCTCAACCATTACAATCCCACTGGGGGAGCCCCAGTAGCATGGCCACATGCTCAAGCCTCTGGCTGCGAGTACAGAATTCTCCAGGTCTGCCCGGTGTATCTGGCCTCTGGGGAAACCTCAAGCTTGTTTGCTTTAGTCTTTCATATTAATGCCTGGGAAAGTCCTTCCTCTAATTCTTTTCTTGTCCCATGTGCACAGTAAGGGGGAGGTGGCAGGTGCTATGTTCACTGTATTTCAAGTAGGGGTAACACCTACTGTAATAGATCCCACCATTCCTCACAATGTCCATTGTTTAACCCAGTGGAAGTTTATTCTGCATCCAGCTAGCAATTCAGTGAGGGTGTTCTGATCAGTGGGAGTCTTTCTTCTCCATGATTTTTCAGGTACTCATGTCTTTTTATCTTGTGAGTTTGTCATCCACATTGTCACATGCTTCTGGCCAGAAAGAAATTTCCACTTACATTTTATAGGTGCAAACATGTCACATGGCACCACCTAGAGGCAGTGGGATTGGGAAAGGCAGTCTGTGGCCGATCCCCTTGCAAGAGCGAGCACTCATTCTGGAGAACAACCAGCCATCCCTGCCCACCGGAGAAAGCTGGCTATCTCCCACGAAGCCAGGCCTGCGACAGAGTTCAGACTTAGGCCATTTCTGTTCTTTTTTCCTTAGCAATCAGACCCTTTCCCCTCTCTCTGAGATTTCTCAGGGCATAAATTGACTGGCAGGGGTGTAGGGATATTGGAGGGTCAGGGAAATAAGGTAGAGAAAAAGAATCTGGATAGGAAGAGGAAAAAATACATTCCTTTATCCTGGGACATCTACAGAGCTCACAAAAATCATGCATTGGTGGGGGTGGGGGTGGTGATGGGGCTCCCCAAAGTGGTCCAGAATCTCCAGGGAGATGCATGTGTTTCTAGCAGGGTGAGGGAATTTAGGTGACATTGCTCTATGTCCCTGGATCCCAGACATCTCCAGGTACCAATCAAACTTTCTGGCTTTGTCAACTCTATTGACTACTAAATTTCCATGGAATTTCCCTAGAGAAGGCGGAGAGAGCCAGTGCGTATGTTGGGGGTGGGGTGGATGACAGCACTTTCAGCCTCTCAGGCCTCCAGCTGCCTCTGGGCTTTGGTTTGATTCCCAAGGGCCATTGTTTCCCATAATCACTTAGCCTTTGTCCTGATGCAAGTGGGCGGACATCAGGACACGCATGTGAAGAGCTTCTCAAAATGACAATGATGAGGATAATGACAATAATAGCTAGCATTTGCTGAATGTTTGCTCTGTGCCAGATGCTGTGCTAAAAACCTGATGCATATTTTCTCCCGTGAGCAAAATAATCCCATGAAGTGGGCATTGTTATTATGCCTATTTTACGGATGTGGAAACAAAGGCCAAGGTAGTAAAATAAGCCCCCCCAAAACTGCACAAATGCTATGTGGCAGAGTTGGACTTTGAATCCAGGCCGTCCGATTTTAAGGCTGCTGTCCTACACTCTACACAGTGCCGCCTTCCAAAGTCAGGTGGAGTCCTCCCAGCTGTGACCTCAAAGGGTCCGCCATCTGGCTCTGTGTATCTTTCCAGGAGGGATGAGGCTGTGCACACATGACCAGAGGCTTAGCCATGTGGTTTCCAGGGCCTTAGTCAAGTGCATCAGGAGAGGAAGCTCCCGCCCATCCCCCACTCCTGTGCCCAGTGGAGGGTTTCTGGGAGGCCTTGCCAAGCCATGACAAGCTGTCGCCCAAAACACCTCCATGTCTCCTGGATGTGGGTGGGTGGTTCTGAGAAGCACAGGTCATTCATTCTCCACCTCCTCTGCACTGGCTCAGGCTTCTTGTCCTTTGGGAAGGCTACTGCCCAGCCCAGGAAGTAAGCACCATCCTGCTCTTATGATGGGTCCTCCCAGAGTCCAGGGAGGACCATGCACTAGAGATACACAGCCTGGACCACAGGCAGGAGGCTTTGTGAGATGAGACCTCCAAGAAAGGTGAGGGCATTGCCTGGTCTTCAGTCCTCACCACTCAGCTCCCTCCAGCTGGACATGGGATGTGGACATAACAGGATGCCTTCTCTGTCCGAGCCCTGAGTCTCAGAGGAGGTCCTTCACTTTTTATACAAGGAAGGAGCTGGGAATCAGCTTTTGAATAATTCCTCCTAATTACACTGTGTTGTAGTGGAAAGAGCACTGGAGTTGAAATCAAAGTATCTGAAGGTACAAATTCCAGCTCTGCTGCCTACTTAGCCATGAGATTTTAAGCAAGCCATGCTCTCTGTTTCTTCGCATGTAAAATGGGTGTATCTGTCCCACATTTGTTCTGAGATTAAATGGAATGACACATGTAAACATGCACGGCAAAGTGACTGGCATTATTGCGACCTCTCAACAAATGTTGAATTTGCAGCAAAAGGCCCAGGTCCTTCACCAGAAAAATGAGACGGGAGAGAGAATTATAGATAAATCTTCAGGAAATCCTAGGAAATTTGCCATCTCTCTGCATAAACATTGCTCCTAGGCTCTTAGCAATGGGCTGGCTTTCCATGGAGGTGACACTACCACCTAGGGAAGAAGGACATAGTTTCTCTAGGTCTTGGAGCTCCAGTGAGTTGACCTCTCTGTGGTCTCTCTTGTCTCTGATAGGGCCAGGACAGTTGCCTGTCCATGGAAGAATTCTCTGGGAGAAATTAGTGCCCTGTGCTGGTGGCCTCTGACTGCTCAGCCAATACAGTCAGGAAGTTCAGGGCTTGAGGGGTACACATCCACACACACCCCCATGACTCCTCAATCCACAGCCATCTGGCTCCTGCCCCATCATACCAGTGAACCCCCATGTTGCCATGTCTGGTGGATATTTTGTAGTCCTCATCGTACTGGAACTCTCACAGCATTTAACTCTTGAATACTCCCTACTCCATGTCATTGCCATACCCTTCAAGACATGGGTTCTCCTGGTTTCTCGTCCAGCCGTCTGGCTGCTCTTTCTCAATCTTCCACAAGTTCCATAATGGTCTTCCCAGGAGATTGTCCTCAGCTTTCTTCTCTTGTTACAGTAAATGCTCACCCCAGGCTGGGCCATCCCATCTGTTCTTGGGGTTTCCAATTAACATCTATGGAGCCAGCAGGAATATTGCTCTGTGTCACTAAGGTGCAAGAAATGTCACATTTCTTTTTAAAATCAGATTAATCTGACTTTGCCCTGCTGCAGGCTCGCTGAAATGCATCCCTTGTCATCTTCTTCCCAGGAGAACTTGTGCATAGCTTTCCAGGCTGGGTGCTCGGACTACAGCCTGCACAAGCACCCCTCAGAGAATTGCACAGGTAAAGGGCATAGTTCCCAAACTTGCTGCTCTCTGCACCGTCAGTCTCAGGAATCCCACTCTTCCTGGGTCAGACTTAGGCTGCTCTCCTCTCTTCAACCACTTCTCCCAGCAGACAATGCAGGGTTGTCTCTCTTAGGAACATGGATGGCACAAAGGCCTATAAATTCTCTTTGGGGTCAAAGCCATTCCTTCCTGATGAGATCATGACAGAAATCAAGACATGTATAGATTCCAATAATTGTCTTCAGGTTTCCATGTGAACATAAGCCTTCATTCCTCTAGGATAAATTACCATAGGTGGGATTGTTGGGTCATCTGGTATTAATAATAGTGTGTTTAGCTTTGCAAGAAACTGACAGACTATTTTTAAAGTGGCTGTACCATTTTTCATTTCTATGTGTAATATAAAAGTTCAAGTTGTGCCATATCCTTCCCTGTATTTAGTATTGTCAGTATTTTTTTATTATAGTAATTTAAATGGATACACCGAAATACAATGGTATCTTTTTATGGTTTTAATTTGCATTTCCCTAATGACTAATGATGTTGAGGATCTTTTTATGTGCCTGTTTGCCACCTGTATATCTTCTTTGGCAATATGTCCATTTAAATATTTTGCTCACCTCTTTGTTGGGTTGTTTGTTTCATATTGTTGAGTTTTGAGAGTTTTTTATGTCTTCTGTATACAAGTCTTTGTTGGATGTGTGATTTGCAAATATTTTCTCGCCATGTGGCTTGCCTTTTCATTCTCTTAATTGTGTCCTTAACAGAACAAACATCTTTAATTTGGTGAAGTCCAATTTATCAATTTTTTGCTTTTGGTGTTATATTTAAGAACTCTTTGCCAAATACAAACTTATGAAGATTCATTTTTATTTATTTGCAAAAAGATGTTTAGTTGTTCCAGCACCATTTGCTGAAAAAAACTGTACTTTTTCTATCCAATTGCCTTTGGATTTTGTCAAAAATCAACTGAACATACTTGTGTGGGTATACTTATAGATTCTCTATTCTGTTCCATTGATCTACATGTCTGTCCTTTCACCAA